GGGAGGAGGGGTGGCCAGGGAAGATCAGGAGGGGAAGTGGGGGAGAACCGGCCGGCTGGGAAGGCTGTGGTGAGCACATTGGCTGGTGGGGAGCGGGACTGACCTGCACTTGCTGCCTGTCCCGTGCAGGCTCCTGGCGACGCACGAGTGAGGAGGCGTCTTCCCCTCCTCACACGCATCCAATTGAGGGACTCCCAGCCGCTCTCCCTGCTCACGCCAGGCTTCCGTCCGGTGCGCAGCTGGAAAAATCAGAAAATACTGGACATTGCACATGTCCCATATTTTCTGATTTTTTTTACCAAGCGCACAAATACTGGACTGTCTGGTACAATACCGGACACCTGGCAACCTGATACCCCAATAGAGTGGCTACTGTCAACTTTGAGAGCGATGAACTGTGGGCAGTTATCCTTCAGTGATTGTGCCCCTTTCCATTCTAGGTTATGCTCCCAGGGCAGGCCGGGACCAAAACTGAATGACATGTCATCAGTGGCCCATAATGCACTCATTCCTCCCTCCCTTCCCCCTCTACCACCGCAATGGCAAACCGTATTTGTGCCCTTTTTTCTCTTGTTGGTTATCCACACAGACACCATAGTGTATGCTGTATATTTATAATATAGATGACGAAGAAGCGTTGATCTTGTTCAGCATCAAAGCTTTATGATTATCACGTTAACTTTGGTGCACCTAATGCTTGAGTATGTCCAGAACATATCCAGGATCTGCCAGAATGAGGAAGAATCTCAGAAGCATACTCTTTTTGTGATGCACTTGGGTGAATTGCAAATGCCACTGGCATTTTATCCTCTCCACACAATGGAACACAGATTGTGGTTGCTGTGAGACAAGCAAAGACTGATCAGCTGTGGCTGCAAAACTTTTGCATACATAAGACTGCTTTCATGGAACTTTGTGAATTGCTTTCCTCTGCCCTGGAGCACAAGAATTCCTGAATGAGACTTACTCTGACAGTGGAGGAGCGAGTGGCAATATCCCTGTGGAAGCTTGCATTGCCAGACAGCTACCAGTCACTTGGGAATTAATTCATAGTTGGGAAATATACAGTGGGCGCTGTTGCAATCCTTGTAGCCAAGACAATCACTATCTTTCATCCATGGAGGGTAGTGACTCTGTGAAACATGGAGGACATAGTGGAGGGCTTCGCCAAACTGGGGTTTCCTAACTGTGGTGGCGCGATAGACGGAACACACTTCCCTGTTTTGGCACCCAATCACCTTGCAAAGGAATATATGAACTGCAAGACGTTCTTCTCAATGATGCTGCAGGGGCTGGTGGATCACAAGGACCATTTCACTGACATCAGCATGGGATAGTCAGGAAAGGTGCATGACATGGACATCTTTAGGAACTTCTGCCTGTTCAGCAAGTTACAAGCTGGAATTATTTCCGCCCCTCCTCCCCCCACTGGAAAATTATAACTGGAGATGTTGAAATGCTGCTAGTGATCCTTGGAGACCCAGCCTTACCCCTTGCTCCCATGGCTCAAGAAGCCTTACATGGGCAGCTTAGGCCACAGCAAGGAGAGGGTTCAGGAATGGTGGCAGGGCAACCCACTTTGAGCAAGATAAAAAGTATGAACTCATCAGAAGTGCCTTCCTTGGGATCAGTGCCCGACTGAGACATCCTGGAAGGAGGGGACTGTCTCCAAAGTTATAAAAAGTTCTTGGCTGTCAGTGACCTTGGTTGCCCCACTCACCAGGTGGGCATTCTGTCCCTTCTCTTCCTCCTTAGCCATGTGGTCCTCCATGCCCCTTCCTAAGGCTGCCTGAGTGCCTTGGGAGGAATCCACTGAAAGACTATGGAAGCTGGTCTGGGTCGCCCCCAAAGGATTGCATGCAGGTGCTCGTACAAGTGGCATGTTTGTGATGCTGCTGCAGACCATCCGTTTGCCTCTTGCCTTTTGATATGATTGCTTCAGCTTCTTTATTTTCACAAGTTACTGCCGGGCATCCATGGCATATCTTCTCTCCTCCATGATCCTTTCAGTCTTGGCATGGATATCTGCATTTCTTTCACTGATTTGTAGTTCTGTGAAAACAGATTCGTCTACTCACATAGCAATGAAGTTCAGGACCTCCTGCACACTCCTTGCTGGTGCTTGTCTGCAACCCTGGGAACTTACGGAGCTCATGGAAATTGAACTCACGGAAGTCACGGTCAGGTGCGCTGCTTGGGTGTGCTGCCTTCTCTGAGATCTGCAGGCCATAAAGGAAATGGAATTTCCCAGGGCTTTTCCTGTTCACTTGGAGAGCAGTAGAGTTGAAAGTCATGGCTAGACTGGTCATCATGAAACATGTGGGGCACCTCCAGGAGGCCAAGAACATCAACTTTCACAGCGCTACATCTGCACTACTGGAAAGTTGACCATTAAAGATATAATTTAGAAGTTACTCCTTGTGAAAGTAGGAGTGCAGAAATGGACTTTAATGGCCCTTAAAGTCGATGGAATGGGCTTGGTAGTGTGGACTCATTGTTTAGAGAAATCAGTATAATGTGGTTAAGTTCAAACTAAACTCTAGGGCTGTGTCTACACTGGCCCCTTCTTCGGAATAGCCATGCTAATTTAGAACTTTGGAATAGGGAAATGCGCGGGGGATTTAAATATCCCCCGCGGGATTTAAATAAACATGGCTGCTGCTTTTTTTCCGGCTTGGGGAAAAGCCCGAAAAGAGCGTCCAGACTGGCGCCATCCTCCGGAATAAAGCCCTATTCCGGAGGATCTCTTATTCCTACTTGAATAGGAGCCGGAAAAAAAGCGGTGGCCATATTTATTTAAATCCCACGGGGGATATTTAAATCCCCCGTGCATTTCCCTATTCCAAAGTTCTAAATTAGCATGGCTATTCCAAAGAAGGGGCCAGTGTAGACGTAGCCTAGGTGTAGAGCAGGCCTAGGTTATTTAAAACACCTTTAGTGCATTTAGTTCATCTATCTTAATGCAACATAGCTGTTGTGCGAAGGTTGTACCATCCCAGGGCACTTACTCTTAACAGTTGTAGCCAATTCTCCTTCCTCCCAGCCCCATGCACTTTAACAGCTGTAGCTTCCAGGCCTCCTCTTCACATAATAATAACAATGGCTCTGAAGCTTTCTGCAGTCTTGGGAAGTTAATGTTGCATCATCTGACACTTGGTTTGTATTTGAGAAGTTTTTGCCTGAGCTAGAGACTTTAACTTGTTTTTTTAAATAAAAGCTGAGATACTGCAGAATCTGATGGCCCACATCTGAGGAAAGAGCCCTGTGACGGGGCGTTCCTGCCCCACACTCGGGGGGACCGAGGCGATGGCCGGAGGAGTCCCTGGGGTGGGGAAAGCCGGCCTGTCACGGGAACCCAGGAGCTGGCTGCGGACTCGTGGGCCGGCTCCATGGGACGTGGGGAGCACGGTGTGCTGACGGGGAATGCCCCGGGAGGAGGGGCTAGTGCGACGCGGGCGGATGACGTCAAGGGGGGGTGACCCGGATCGCAGGCGCGGTGACGCCGGGAGCTCCGCTGGCGTGGAGCTTAAAACAATGCCTGGCAGCCGGAGAAGGGGAGAGGACGACGAGGCGCTGGACGAAGAAGAGGGTGAGGAAAGGGCACCCGGGAGAACTGGCCCCTAGTAGGGGCGAAGTAGGAAGCGGCCCAGGGCAGGGTCGCGTAGCCCGTGAGCGGGTGTGTTTAGGGGCACTACCCCCATCCGCTGAGCAGGGACCGGTCGCCCCTACCTTAGGGCCCTGGGCCGGGGTTCGGAGTGAGGGAGGGCCCGAACCCCCCTACTCTGCCCGCCGTGGCGTAGCAAGGCGCATCAGTGAGATGGACTGCCCAGGTCACCGGCAAAAGTAGAGTGACTCTGGAACCAGGGGGGCGAGGCACGGGACTATTTTGGAGGTGCTTAGCCATAAGAAGTACACAATAAAGAGGGTGACAGGAACCCACCAACTGTTGGGGTAGCGTGATCCTTCTACAAGCCCACCTTGGCCTACATGAGTGGATTTTGTAAGCCAGGGAGTGAACAACTTCTTAAGGAATCTTTTCTCTGAACTTCCCAATTTTATTTCACACTTCTCTCTATTTACGTGGTTGTGTGTTAAAGTAATATTAGGACAGTCTTAATATGAAACAAATATGTAATATGATGGGCAGAGCTTCTTGGTTACATACCGTTATTTTCTATTCATGCTATTTATTTCCTTTGCTTTAACTTTACCCTGTCATTGCTTAACTAATAGTAATTAGTATTTAATTTCCCCCTTCAATGTCTGGAACACCCACTCCTGTAATCTCTGAGTCACTTTGAAGTTTGGCTCTGTTGTCATGTATGTTTACTGTCCCTCCAATTTTGGTGTCCCCTTCAAATTTAATCATGGTTGAAATTGTGCCAGAAAAACACATAAAAAGGGCATGAAGCAGTGATGTGTTTTTGGAATGCCTAACGTGGCCTAGTCTGGATTAGTCCTACAATAGTAGGATTTTTCACTTCTTGGAAACTAGAAAGGCAAAGTAGGTGAAGTCATAGGCGTGTGCAGGGAGTGTGCCAGGTGTGCCCAGGCACACTCTAATGTCTCAAAAAAAAAGTGGCTTTGCATTTTAATTTAATTGCATGATACGCTCTTTTAGTTTTAAAGTATGGATTGTTGTATTATGCAATAAGTGCCAAATGTAGAAATGTATAGAAAGCCCACGTTTGCTCGCAGCATGTCCTTTATGATTGAGTATTCAATATATGTTCATCTTTTAAAAAAAAAAAAATTCCCTGGGTGCACACACTAATGAAATGTGCTGCGCACACCTATGGGTGAAGTAGTATGTTTTATTGGACCAGCTTCTGATGACGATTGAGAAATTTGAGGTACAAAGATCCTTTCTTGAGGTTTGCTTGGAAACTGACAGATGTTTCATACCAAGACTGAAATGGAAGCACTTGGAAGTATTCTATGAACCACTGGTGGCTGTGAACCACCATTGGGTAACCACTGATCTAGAGTGCAAAGGATTTCTCTCTCTTCTCTGCCCTCCCTTGTCACTTAGATTATTGATTTAATACATATTGTTATAAACCCTACTATTTCTCATTTAAATGAAATTAAATGGAGACATACTGTCAACTCAGTGAAGAGCACCTTTGGATATGAATTGTACAGCTAATGAACTGTGTGTTGAGTTGGGAGCATTCTTAATTGTTTACAAAGACCTGTGCACATATTTTAATCTTCATTTTAAATATAAGGTCTATGTACAAATATAAATGGATTTTTGGGGGGAATTTTTAAGAAACCACTTCACTTCATTATAAATATACATCTCCCAATCAGAGTGAGGTTGGGATATCACACCACGCTTTGTTTTATACTGAAGTAATTGATTTGTGGGAAGAAATAGAGGTTAAGTGGCTCATTTTTTGCAGTTGGTCTTGGTGTTGCAAACATTTTGTATCTGCAGAGATGTGTGCTGTCTCGGCCACTAGACATTATATGAAGGGTGTGAATGAGCTGAGTCACTATCTTATCCCCAACAAAACTAGTAACAGAAATAATAACAAAGCATACATTTTTATCTCAAGCTTCCTTCCTGAACTTGGCCTTATCTTGGTTTTTCTGTGGGACCTTTCCTCCTTATATACCCACTCTCATAGGCCACATTTTTAGTAGGTGGAAGTCAATCTTCTGGGGTTTGATTTAGCCAGTCTAGTGAAGACCCACTAAATTGAACTTACAGGGCACCCCCATTGGTGCCAGTACTCCTACTTCTCATGAGGAATAAAGGAAGCTGACAGGAGCATTTGCTCCTGTCGACCTACTGCTCTGTGGCCAGCACAGAAACATGATTTTAGATACATTGACTCTGGCTACGTTAATTACTTATCTTAATTCAAGCTTCCACTATAGTGTAGACCAAGCCATAATGTTCCAAAGCTAAGTACTTCTTAGCTTTATTCATGTGTCTAATAGCTACAAACAAGCTAAGAACTTCTTAGCTTTATTCATGTGTCTAATAGCGTGTCCACAGGAGAGTCCCATTTCAAAGTGGTAAAAGCACATCCACAAAGACATTTAGAGATACATTAACATGCCAGTTGTCGTCTTGTTTATTTTTTCTGATGCATTTTAAAATCTTATTGTAGAAGTAGAGTACTCAAAAGCTATGAAATTGCATTTTCACTAATCCAAAGGGAAAAAGTAGGAATTAAATAATTAGCCCAGAATAGCTAAGACTAATTGTTTAAAAGATAAAAAAAATCATGAAAATATGTTGCTTAGTTTATTTTACATTGAGATGTTTGGCGCACAATATATTTTACTTGCATATTTTGCGGGGAATTAGATTTAATAGAAAATGTTGAATTTTACTGTTGAACAAAAGTGTTGGCTCATTTGAAAAGGGTCCTGTCTTTTGTTCTCATTTCCATACTTTAATTTTTTATAGGCAAAAATGTCACAGGTTAAGCAAGTGGGCCTGTTAGCTGCTGGATGTCAGCCATGGAACAAAGATGTATGTGTTGCTAGTGGCGACAGATTTGCCTATTGTGCCACCCTTGCTATTTATATTTACCAGGTAAGAGTACTTTTTTTTCTCAACTAAGTACTTTAGAACATTGTTCTCCACTTTTTACTTCACTTTCGTTCCTTTCAAGAAATGTTTCTGCAGTAGTTTTGAAGTATGATTATAATCAGAAAAGTGACTGTAGAATTGGCATCTGTTTACTCAACAGATCTATGGAAAAAAAAGTTTAAAAATGAGTTACAATTTGTCATTCAGGTCAGCATTGCAGAGCCAGTATAGATATGGGAGAGGGAACAAGATTTCATGTTGACTTGTGCATCACCATCAGAATTGTGTGGCACTGATAAGTAGGGCTTTCTCAAATTCACAGCCAGGCAAAACATATCAGACCATGAAATCTGGTCTTGTGTGCTTTTACCCTGTACTATACTGGTTTCATTGTGGGGAGACCGGTATTTCTCAAATTGGGGGCCCTTATCCAAAAGAGGATTGTAGAAGGCTCCCATTATTGCCACCTCTACTTCTGTGCTGCCTTTAGACCTGAGAAACTGAAGAGTGGTGATTGTAATGTTGGCCATGTGCCCAGCTCTGAAAAAAAGGCAACCTTCCAGCAGCAGTGCAGAAGTCAGGTATTTTCCAGGTAATACCATACCCATATCATCCTTCTGTGCTGCTGCTTTTAGAGCTGAATGGTCAGAACATGGCAGCTACTGACTAAGAGGCCAGCTCTGCAGGTAGCAGCACAGAAGTAAAGTTGATAATGCCTTACTATGCCATTGTTACTTCT